GGATCGGGTCTAAACCAGCAGTAGGACATCCCTCTCACAAACCGGGACTGCTGGCTCCCAACCGCTCGCCTGCCTGCCTGCCTGGTTGCCCCTAACTGCTTCTGCCTGCTAGCCTGATCACCCCCTAACTGCTCCTTGCCAGCCTGATTGACACCTAACTGCTCCCCTGCCTGCCCAATCTCCCTCAACTGCCCTCCCCTGCCAGCCGGGTCACCCCTAAATGCCCTCCCCTGCTGACATAGTCACCCCAAACTGCCCTCCCCTGCTAACCTGGTCACCTCTAACTGCTCTCCCCTGCTGACCTGGTCCCCCCCAACTGCCCTCCCCTGCAGGCCTGGTCACCCCTAACTGCCTTCCCCTGCAGGCCTGATCACCCCCAATTGCTCTCCCTCCCCTGCTGGCCTGATCACCAACAACTGCCCTCCCCTGCGGGCCATTTGTGATAACATGGGGGCAGCCATCTTGTGTGAGGGTGTGGCAGCAATTTGCATATTACATCTTGATTATATAGGATTTTTAAAATATGTTTTTACTGATTTGAAAGTGAGAGATAGAAATACAGAAACATCAAAACATCAGTTGCTGCCCTGCACGCCCCTTCTTGATTTGAGCCTGAAACCTGGGCATGTGCCCTGACTGGGAATCAAACCTGCAACCTCCTGGTGCATGGGTCAACACTCAATCACTGTGCAACACCAGCCGGGCGTATTTTACTTTTTTGAAGTATATTTATGTAGTGAAACAAAGGGAAAAATGTTAAATATTATCTTTGTATTGGACAATTATGGGTAATTTTTATTTATTTAGTCTCCAACTTTTAAAAATAATGATGCATTATATTACGCTCATGGTTTAAAAAAAACAATGTCATTAGAAAAATTAAGTATCTCAATATATACTAGTTAGGTAGATACTATCATCCCTAATAAGGGACTATATTTTGCTATTGGCCTAGCAAAAAGCATGACTACTCACATGTATTAGGGATTTAATAAAAGCTTGATGACTAGATCAAAAGACTGAATAATGGCCTCAAATTATTTCAACACTTAATTTTACTACTGCTATTTACTCTATTAGTCATTCTTACCTAAAGACTATCCAAATATTTTCTGTTTATTAAGCACACTAAAGCGACTACCTTTGGGTAATGCGTGTTCCAATTGAACCCATGGGTGAATGCCTTCTGTTGGTTTCACCAACAATACTCTTTATCAATTTTTTTTTTTAAAGTATAGTTTATTGCTATTTGGAGAGGAAGAGAAACATTGATGTGAGAGCATAACATCAACTGGCTGCCTCCTGCATGCCCCCTGCCAGGGATCACAGCTACAACTTGGACATGTAGCCTTAACCATGAATTGAACCAGCAACCTTTGGTGCATAGAATGATACCCAACCAACTAAGCCACAACAGCCAGAGCCCTCTTTATCAATTTGAGGTGTGTTAATCCACCTCCACAATGGAAATATGGGAACAAGGATTGGGGAGCGATTTTTTCATGAAACAACATTTATTCTGTTAAAATAGGTGTCCCACCTTGTGTAATTTTTAAATATCTGGGGGGAAAAAGAACAGACTAACATGTGGATCTTTCATAATGACTAAATAATGCTAGTGTTAGTGGGGAATAGAAGGAGCAGAGGGGTGGTGGTGTTGGTAATGGAATATGTACTTATTTAGCAAATAAAAATGAGCAACCTATGAAAAGCAAAATTCTAGGAACTACAGTGTTAATGTGTATTTCCAGTATAATAAAAATTAAAGCTAGCCCTGGCCAGTTTGGCTCAGTGGATAGAGCATTGGCCTACAGACTGAAGGGTCCCAGGTTCGATTCTGGTCAAGGGCACATGCCCAGTTGCGGACTCAATCCCCAGTGGGGTCGTGCGGGAGGCAGCCAATCAATGATTCTCTCTCATCATTGATGTTTCCATCTCTCTCACCTTCTCCCTTCCTGTCTGAAATCAATAAAAACATACTTTTTTAAAAAAATTTAAAAAAAGAAAGTTAATTCTCCAAAGCATTGATATATGAATGTGTGGTTTGAGAAACTTCCAGTTGAATAATCTCTTAGTAGCTCTTTGTACTTGAAAAAAAAAGAAATGTCATTTAATTAGTTTTTAATTCTTTCTACTTTTATAACATGGCATAGCTCAAGCTGTAGAAAACATTAGATATAAATCAACCTTAAAAAACCCAAACAACTTTTCAAAGATATGTGATCAAACATGACTGGTAAATATTTCTAATTACCAAATTCTATCAACTTTTTTTCCTTTCATCTTTCCCCCCAAATTAATATGTTAATGAAAAAAAGTAAACTACTTAAAAATATTTCCTTTTGGTAACAGTGGTCATTATTTCCTTTCCTATTCACTATTCCTTACATTTTACTGAACACCTGAACCTCAGCTAGTTTTATTAAAAGAATTAGATTAAATAGACTTTGAATGTAAAATCATTTTTCACATGAATTTTCAAAACTTCACAAATATTTTAGAAGTTTTAATAAAGTACCTTTCACCCTCTAATACGATTCCTCACCTCGTAAATAGAAATCACAGGGGCAGCAATGCTATTAAGGTCCACATATAGTGAGGCAAAAGTAGGTTTACAGTGAGTATGTGAAACAGTTTATTCTTGTATTATTATTTATTAACTAGAGGCCCAGTGCACGAATTCGTGCACAGGTAGGCTCTGGCCAGCCCAGCCCCAATTGGGGCGGATTGGGGCCGGGCCTGTCGGGAGGAGGAGATGGCAGGAGGTGGCCAGCCAGCCACACCGATCAGAGCCCAATCAGGGCCGGGCCAGCTGGGGGGAGGTGCTGTGGGTGATTGGCCAGCGGGTCCCAACACTGATTGGGGTGAAGGGGGTTATTGAGGGTGGGGTCGGCCATGGGGAGGGGCTGTGGGCCATCTGGTCCCCCCCCTGAATGGGGTGGGGTGAGCCGATAGGGGGTCAGCACCTGGGGGAGGGGCCGTGGGAGGTTCGCTGGCCAGCCCCACTCCCGATTAGTGTGGGGTGGCGATCGGGGGCGGAGGTGGCTGGGGGGAGGGGCTACAGGCTGATAGGATGGTGGGGGCAGATGGGGGGAGACCGGCAGTGGGGAGGGGCTGTGGGCAATGGAGTAGAGCTGGCCAGGGGGAAGGGCCGTGGGGGTTGGCTGTTGGCCCCGCCCCCCCAATCAGGTCAGTTTGCTGGCTGCAGTAGGTGTCATAGCGACCGATCGTTCTGGTCATTATGGCATTCCTGTCACTGGCTTTTTATATCTATAGACTAGTGGCCCGGTGCACGAAATTTGTGAACATTAAAAGGGAATTAGAGGAAATATTTTAATATTGCTATTTGTCCTTTCTCTATAATAGAAGTATCAGAGATAAAAGAAAATTAGTAAAATGTATATGAAAATCTCCCTCCTCTCAGAGTCTGGGGCACACCGCAGGACCTAGAGCAGTGATGGCAAACCTATGACATGCGTGTCAGAGGTGACACGCGAACTCATTTTTTGGTTGATTTTTCTTTGTTAAATGGCATTTAAATATATAAAATAAATATCAAAAATATAAGTCTTTGTTTTACTAGTCTTTGTTTGGTTGCAAATATCAAAAAATTTCTGTATGTGACACAGCACCAGAGTTAAGTTAGGGTTTTTCAAAAAGGTTCGCCATCACTGACCTAGAGTCAAGTCCCCGCCCACCACCTGCACGTGCTTCAAAAACGCAGGAGACCCAGACCCAAGCTGGTCCCACCCCCATTAGGTGAGGCCAAGACCCGGCCAGCCCCACCCCCATCAAGCCCCTCCCGGCGGGGGGGCGCACAGCCTCAGGTTCTCCAGCCTGGCACTGGGGCGGAGAGCGCAGCCTGCGGTCCCCTGTCAAGCCCCGCCAGGCAGGGAGCCCGGCCTGAAGTCCCTGTTAAGCCCCGCTGGGTGCCGGGTGAGGGGTGCAGCCTGAGGTTCCCCCGTCAAGCCCCTCAGGCTGCGCCACCCCAATCCCCCCCCAGCCTGGCGCTGGGGCAGAGGGCACAGCCTGAAGTCTCCTGGAATGGCACAGGGGCTGGGGGTGCAGTCTGAGATCCCCATCAAGCCCCGCCGGGCACCAGGCGAGGGGCGCAGCCTGAGGTCCAACATAAAGCCCCGCAGGGTGGGGACATGGCCTGAGATCCCTCGCCCCGGCCAGGTGCCATGCAGCCTCAGGTCCCTGCTGTATGGTCATAATGTTACACTGTCCTGGCTAATTTGCATATTCCTCTATTATTAGCATAGATTATTGTGTTACTTTACATATGAACCATAAACCTACTTTTGCCCACCCTTGTATAAGCCAGTAGTGACAAAAAACAGCAGGATATACTATTAACATTTTCATAACACTAGGTTAGTGATATTGATTGCATGTGTTCCAAAGCTAGTATAAATTTAAAACAGCTAAAAAAAATTTCAAGCAATCTACATAATATAGTCTTTATAGCAAAGTGCATTCCTGGGTGAAAGAAAACACCCTTTGTTGTTATGATGCACTGTAAAAGAGCTTTGGAGACTGAGCAGTTTGGATCCTGGCTCTTCCTCTTGCTAGGTAGGTAGGTCGCTTAGTGTCCGTTATCTATAAAATGAGGATGATGCTTTCTTCAAAGGATTATTGTGAGAATTTAATAATGATGTATGTAAAGGACTTAGGTATGTAAAGGACCTAGTAGATAGTAGTAACTAATTTAATTATATCCTAGATGCCAACCCCCTCGCTCCCAAACATAAAATGTTTTCTGAGTAGACTTTCTGAGTTTCATTCTAAAGGCAATTTTAAAATCCTCAGAAGGAAACCATGCACATTTTTAATATTTACTCTACTAACAATATGTGGCTCATAATGTAGAATATTTCATCATACTAGTCACATAAAAATAAATAGAAGACTAATATCTCAAAAGAAAATAAAGTAGGTTTCTTTAAATAAGAATGTCAAATCCAGAATTAATACATATAAAGAAATACACATTCTAATAGATGAAAAGACATTTTATTATTATTTTACTATATAACATAGTAGTGAATATATCTGATTGCATTTTCTCAAATGGCAAATGAGAACAGGACAGCATTTTACTGAAAACCTCAATATCATCTGTCTTTTGGAGGATTCAGTTTCCTACGACGTGTATGATACCTTGAAAAGAAAAAAATATTTAAGATAATTTATTTTAGTAAAAGTGTTTCTGACAGAAATATCAAATTTCTATTATTATTTTGCCATCTATTAATTAGTACTCAATGAAATCAAACTACATACATATGCTGTTAGCTATATCTCATTTAGTTCTTAATAAGCCACATTTCCCCAGAGTGAAAATTGTTTTCAATTAATTAAACACTTTGGAAAATCTTCATTCAGGTCTTGATGATAACTTCAATATGGCAACCTGGATGATTGTTAAAACCTAATGATTAACTAAAAATTATCTTTATAATAAAGAAAGCACACTGTCAACATGCTCTATTAAAATTTTATTTGAAAAGGGATTTTTTCTTCTAAACGGAGGGCTCAAGCTCCAAAAGTATGTTTTAATATACACTAGGATACAGTTATAGTTAGTAATCCATTTACGGAAAAATGTGCAATATCACAAAATATGGAAGAAATGAAAATTAAAAAAGCGAGGAAACTTTTATTGTTTGCAATTACAAATATTTTTAAATTCATACTGCCCAATCAAAGCACAGGAGTGGTGAAATAAGCAATATTAGACCTGATTGACTGAAGTATTAACTGGTAAAATATTTTTGAAAAGCAGTATTAGCAATATATATATATTTTTTAATTTTTAAACAGTCATAACTTTTGATCTAGTAATTCCTCTTCTGGAAATCTATCCTAAAGCAATATAGAAAAGTAGTTAAAATTTTAATTGGGGCAGGGGGAAATACAGGATACAAATTTAAATTACAGTATAAATAAAACCATATAAAGCAAACTAACTCAACTTACGTATAGATACAAAGTAAAATAAAATGCATTGTTAGCAGTGATCATCTTTGAGTAAATTCACCATGAAGAATTCTTCTTTTTACTTCTCTGCATTACCTTATTTTCTCTATTAAGAAAATTTCTGCAGAGTACATGTGGTTTTTGTTGATGAGTTTTCTTCAAAAAAATTCCCCTAAAGCCAGATTTTGGCAAGTTGATCTGAGTAAGGTTGTTTTTTTAACTTTTTAAATCTAATATGAAAAAAATACAATGTAAGGATTTCTATACCATAAATGATGATACATGTATCTTATGCTCTTTAGTTGTGATGATTAAGATATCAAAAACAGCTCTGGCCTGCTTTACTCAGTGGTTACAGTGTCAGCCTGCAGAACAAAGGGTCACAGATTCGATTACCAGTCAAGGCCATGTACCTGGGTTGCAGGTTCGATCCCCAGTCAGGATGTGGCTCATGTGTCTCTTTCAAATCGATGTTTCTCTCTCTCTCTCTCTCTCTCTCTCTCTCTCTCTCTCTCTCTCTCTCTCTCTCTCTCTCTCTACCTCTACCTCTACCTCTACCTCTACCTCTCTCTCCCTCTCTCTACCTCTCTCTCTCCTCCTCCTCTCTCTCTCTCCCTCTCCTCCCTCCCTTCCGCTCTCTTTAGAAATCAATGGAAAAAATATCCTTGGGTGAGGATTAACAACAACAAAAAAGATATCAAAAGCAATTTTTGCTTATTTTAAGGTTTCATATAAGCAACTTTCCTATAAATTTTTTCTGATGTTGACTTTTTTTAACTATTTGTGAAATATAGCCTTGGCCAGTGTGTACTGAAAGGCTGCCAATTTGATTCCTGGACAGGACACATACATGGGTTGTGGGCTTGATCCCCAGTAGGGGGGGTGCAGGTGGCTGCCCATCTATCAATGTTGCACTTTCACATTGATGTTTCTCTCTCTCTCTCTCTCCCTTACTCTCTCTCTCTAAAATTCAATAAACTATTTTAAAAAATTAAAAACTTGTGAAATTTATAAATTAATTTAAAAAGAAGTAAGTACATTTATATATACTAACATGGAACATTAAGTTACAGAATAGTACATACACCTTATCTGTGACAACGTGGATGAACCTAGAGGGTATTATGCTAAGTGAAATAAGTCAGCCAGAGAAAGACAAATATCGTACGATTCCACTTACACATATGTGGAATTTAAAAAAACAAAATAAACAAAACAGAAATACACTCACAGAGAACGAATGAGAGGAAAGTTGGGGAGCTGGGTGAAAAAGGTGAAGGGATCAAGAAGTACAAAGTGAGAGTTACAAAATAGTAACAGGTATGTGAAGTATAGCATAGGGAATACAATCAATAATACTGTAATAATTATGCATGGTGCCAGGTAGGTACTACAACACTTATTAGGAGGGATCATTTTGTAAGTTAGATAAACCACTATGCTATACACCTGAAGCTAATATAATATTGAATGTCAACTATAATAGAAAAAAATTATATTAAAAAAATACGTATAGCAAATCATTTATGTAACCATTTCTACACGTACTTATATTGGCACAGTACTAATGCAATAGAATCCCCAAAGGTATTCACTCAATGCAGCAGGGGTTTGGGAAATCATAAACTTTTTGAAATTATTTATAAAATTTAGAATATGCATTTTTCTGGGAAATGGATTCACATGTTTCATCAAATTCTCAATGAAGTCTGTGGTCCTAAAAAATGCTAAATGTGCCCTAATCGGTTTGGCTCAGTGGATAGAGCGTCAACCTGTGGACTGAAGGGTCCCACGTTTGATTCCAGTCAAGGGCATGTACCTTGGTTGTGGGCACATCCCCAGTAGGAGGTGTGCAGGAGGCAGCTGAAACGATGTTTCTCTCTCATCGATGTTTCTAACTCTCTATCCCTCTCCCTCTCCCTTCTTCTCTGTAAAAAAATCAATAAAATATGTATTTTTAAAAAAATACTAAATGGGATCCAGCTTTTACATTGCTCAACTATTTTCACTATTCAAGGGTGTCTTCAAAATGCTTGAGAGCCTGATAGCCCTACACCTAACAAAGTCAAGTTCTAAAATATGCTCAATGTCAAATAGTCCAATAGCATTTATAGATGTCATATCATGCATGGATTTTCATTATGTGCTACAATCACTAACCAGAAATAAGTACACTAATTTTAGAGCATCTTTATAACTTATCATCCAGAGTAAGACCCTGTAGAGAATAACACCCACCCTATAATAACAAGAGTTAAGCTGAGAGTGCTCCTGGCAAATCAATAGGTATATCATTACCCTTCTTAAATTACATAATGACTCAGTGATATCTGGAATATTTGTCCACAATTTTTAATCCAGAGTAAAACTTTACCTCCTGGTTCACACTACAGCTAATTCCCAAATCTGTTTCCTACTAATGATACCAGCTAATATTTGTTTCCTCCATGGAAAATATTAAACTAGCTATTTAAATAAAACAGTATTGTTATTTGTACATTTATAGGATTGCTCTACATTTCAGAAATTTAGAATTACTTTCCAGATCCATCTTATCTTCCATATAGCCTTCTTCCAATCCTTTCTTTCCACTTTACATTTAGTGGAAATATGTTTATTTACTACTTTCGTATTTATGAGCACACATGGAATATAGAGATGTATTATAAAGTTGTACACATAAAATTTATGTTATTAACCAATGTTACCCCAATAAATTTAAAGAAAATAATCAGAATCATTCACTCGTTCATCTGTTCATTCATTTTTAAATATAAGTATCTACTATGTGCCAGGTACTATTTCTAGGTGCTAAGGATTCTGTAGTGTACAAAACAAGACAAACCCACCACCCTCATGAAGATTACATTCCAATGCAGAAAACAAAATAAATAAGTTGGCCAGGGAAGGCTATAGTGAGTAAAAACCTGAAGGAAGTGAGAGAGCTACCTTTGCTGATAACAGCAGGAAGAGCTTTTTACACAGAGTGAACAGCAAGTACAATGGCTTTGAGGTGAAAAGAAGGGCATGTTAAGAGGCCATATGGCTGGAACAGAGTAAACAAGGAAGGGATCAGTAGGAAATGAAGGTAGAAAGGTCATGGGGTCAGATTATGTAGGTTCTGGTAGGTACTAGTTAAGGCCTATAGCTTTTCTCTGAGTGAGATGGGAAGCAGTTGCAGGGTTTTCAAGAGAAAAATTGTAAGAACTAACAGAAGTTTTAACAGGGTTACTCTGGCTATGTACTAAGAATACACTACAGGGAAGTGAAAGCAGAAACAGGAACAGCACTATACATAACAAGCCAGGCAAGAGATGGTGGCAGAGGAAGAGGTGATAAGTGGTCAAATGGGATACATTTTGGAGACAAAGCTAACAGGATTTGCTGATAAACAAGATGTGGAGTGTGAGACGGAGAACAGCCAAGACTGGCATCAAGGTTTCTGGCCAAGCAATTAAAAGAATGGATATGGCATTAACATAGATAGGGAAGGCTAAAGAAGAAGCTGGTTTGTGGGGGACCAGCAGAAGTACAGTTATAGACACAGTAAGTTAGCGATACCTATTAGGAGACTGATAAACATGTCTGTAGATCAGAGGAGAAGTGACCAGAGATAGATTTGGAATCTATTAGCATTCTGATGGTACTTAAAAACCATGAGTCTGGATAAGATCACTGTCTTAAAGAATCAGACAGAAATAAGGAGAGATCCAAGAACTGATCCTACGGTACTCAAAAATTTAGAGATAGGGGAGATGAAAAGGAATCAGGGCATCAGCAAGAAAAACTAAGGTAATATATGAACTTTAGAAATATAAGAGTTTCAACAAAGTTGTTAAGTTTGAATAATGAGAAAAATAACATGCTCAAATACAGGAACTCTGTTAACACTGCTAAATGATGTAATCTGGAAATACTTATACTGTAAGGAATGCTCCATCACTTTTGATTTCTTTCATGCCAACTGAAGACTCAAGAGGAACTTGCGCACAGATACTGGCAACACTAAAGGCCAACAAGAGATACCTCAGGGTTAGCTGTGAAGAGCAAAGAAACTCAGAATCATGTCCTCAAAAACTAGTTAGAGTGGCTAACAAAAGCAAATTACTGCAAGCAGTACAAAACAAATGGATTTACTAGTACATAAGCAGTACCTTTCAAAGAATATGTTCATGTTCGAAGTTTCATGACTTCAAGTAAATATAATGTAATAGCTAAGCCAGTTTAATTTTTTTTCATTATCTCTGATATCATCAAAAAGGAAGCAGCAGGAGCCTCATGGATATATATGTTATTTTTTAAATCAATCTTTGCAGAATTGAATAAAAAAAAAAGTAATTCAGGCAAACGCAGAGGGAAGGAAACTAAAAGTTCAATTTAACCGCAACCCACTGTCCTGGATTTCTTCATTAGTCATTTCCCACACTAACAATTCAAACAGTTCTAGCACTCAGTCTCTGTATAAAGCCCAAATCTAAGACTCTGAATTGCCATCCTAAAATAAATCACTAGACTCAGGAAAAAGCAAAATCCAATTCACAGATTTAGCAGTAACAATTTTTACTTCAGATAACCTAATCACCAACGTTTAATGGCCACTATTTCAGCATCAATTCTGTACAGTCATACTACCTACACTCCCACCCACCCACCTTGGGTGAGGCCAATAACTAGATGCAGGTATTTTATGACTGAATGAAGTGGGGCAACACCTTGGGATCATAAATCTTTTGCTGACCTTGATTAAGAATCAGATAATGAGGAATACCTTTGTGACCTTCCTAGATCAAATGGAAATTAGATGAACCCACATAAATTTTCTTATGTTTGTATTTTTTACTTTTAAAGGTTTAAAATAAGAATCTCTTTTTAACAGGAGACCAAACATATATAAAAAAGTAGGTCTAAAAGTTGAGGTAGGGGGCCTCCAATCCCAACTCTGATTTGCCCAGCAGAGGCCAGGCCAATGAAAAACAAACCATGAGAGGTAGTCTGGGCAAATAACCTAACTGAGGTTTGGAAGGAGGCACTATAAGAAAGAATGGTATCAACAAAGTTGTCTCTTACCCATCTTTCCCCTAGAGACATCTCAGAGACACTGGCATACAAAGGACAGTGGTTAATGAATGGGAAGAGAAAACGGAAGAGTCAGGGAAGGGCACCTGAAAGGTTTTAAACCTCTTTTCAAAGGGACATTGCTTATATGCTCATTTGATGCAACTTAAGAAAACATTAATATAACTTTCCTGAAAATGCAAAATAACACATTTGCTCTTTTTACCACAAGCCATAAACCATAAGAACTTAGTTTTTAGGACTTAGGGGTTTTCACCAGCCAGATCCTGGGCTGGTCCAGTCGTGGAAACAAGAGCCCAGTTTCAAGTCCTAGCCTCCTCCCTTCAAAAGGGCAAGGATGTCCATAGAATTGAGGCAATAAAGAGAGCCCTCCAAGGCCCCTCTCTGTGGCAGGGACCCCCAACCTGGACAGCAGCTTATCAGCTAGGCTTGAACCCACGTAACTTGATAGCTGAACTCTGGGAATAAAACTTCCAAGAACCACTGGGATATTTACCAGTTGGCCATCATGAAGACTACTGTAAATAAACTACTATTTCAAAAAGAAATTGAACAACTTCAAGATGGTGTGAAGATAATTAGGTAAGACAATATTCCATCACACCATAACTTAGCACCCACACATTGTACTAAAAATATTGTGTTAGAGGCCTTATGGAAAATCACAAAACAGAAGATGCATCCCTGAGACAAGAAAAAAATGTAGAGCAAAGTCAGGAACAAGACAAGGATATCCACCTTTATAAGTTTTATTCAACACTAGTGGCCCAGTGCGTGAAATTCGTGCGGGGGGGGGGGGGGGACGGGGGGGCAGGGGGAATTCTCCCTCAGCTCGGCCTGCACCCTCTCCAATCTGAGACCCCTTGGAGGATGTCCAACTGCCAGTTTAGGCCCGATCCCTGTGAGTCCCGCAATCTGGGACTGCTGGCTCCTAACCGTTCACCTGCCTGCCTGCCTGATCGCCCCTAACCACTCTGCCTGCCAGCCTGTTTGCCCCCAACTGCCGCCCCCGCCTGCCTTCTCCACCCCAACTGCCTCCCCTTGCCAGCCTGATTGCCCCCTACTGCCCCCCTCACCAGCCTGCTCGCCCCCAAAGCCCCCCTGCTGGCCTGATCACCCCCAACTGCCCCCCCCTGCTGACCTGATTGCCCCCAACTGGCCCCCCCTGCCGGCCTGCTTGCCCCCAACTGCCTCCCCACAGGCCTGACCACCCCCAACTGCCCTTCACTCCTGGTCTGATCACCCCTAACCACCTCTGCCTCAGCCCGGCTATCATCATCATGGCTTTGTCCACAAGGTCTCCTGGTCTAATTAGCATATTACCCTTTTATTAATATAGATAATACTGGGAGTCCTAGCCATAGCAATGAGACAAGAAAAAGAAATAAAAGGCATCCAACCTGGAAAGGAAGAAGTAAAACTGTCATTTGCAAGTGACAAGATACTGTATATAGAGAGCCCTAACGATTCCACCAAAAAACTACTAGAATAAATAAATTCAGTAAAGTACCAGGATACAAAACTAATATTCAGAAATTGGTTGCATTTTTAAATGTTTTTATGGATTTCAGAGAGAGGAAGGGGGCGGGGGGAGAGAGAGAGAAACATCAATGATGACAGAGAATCATCGATTAGCTGCCTCCTGCATATCCCCTACTGGGGATGGAATCAGCATGTGCCCTGACTGGGAATCAAACTGAAACCTCCTAGTTCATATGTCAACACTCAACCACTGAGCCACACCAGCCAGGCCAGTTGCATTTTTATACACCAATAACAAACTATCAGAAAGAGAAATCAAGAAAACATTCCCTAAATTCAATAAAAACTTAAAAAATAAAATAAAGAAGAAAATAAAAGAAAAAAGAAAACAATCCCACTTACAATTGCACCAAAAAACCTAGGGATAAATTTAACCAAGATGGTAAAAGACTGTACTTAGAAAATTGTAAGAAACTGAAGACTTTTATTGATTTTTTTTCTTTTTTAGAAAGAGGAAGGAAGAGGGAAAGAGTGAAATATCAGTGTGAGAGAGGGAAGCATCAATTGGCTATGTCCTACAAGCCCACAACCATGGCTTGTGCCCGGGCTGGGAACTGAACCAACAACCTTTCAGTGCATGGGACGACACTCAACCAAGTGGGTCACACCAGCCAGAGCAGAAAATGAAGAAGATTTAACTAAATAGAAACACATACCTTGCTCATGGTTGGGAAGAATTAACATCGTTAAAATGTCCATAATAGCCAAAGTAATCTATAGGTTCAATGTAATCCCTATCAAAATATCAATGGCATTTTTCACAGATATAGAACAAAAAAAATCCTAAAAGTTATATGGAAATTCAAAAGGACTCTAATAGCCAAAGCAGTCTTTTAAATATATATATAGTATACCTACATTATATTTTGATTTCAGAGAGGAAGAGGGAGAGATAGAAACATCAATGATGAGAATCATTGATTGGCGGCCTCCTGCACACCCCATACTGGGGATCAAGCCCATAACCCAGATATGTGCCTTGACCAGGAATCCAACCCTGACCTTCTGGTTCATAGGTGGATGCCTAACCACTGAATCACACCGGTCAGGTATATCGTCAACATTTTTTACCAGGACTATTATAATAGTTCCTTAATGGGTCTCTGACTCCAACCTTTCTACATATCACCTTATCCCAGAGCCTAGTTAATGATTTTCTAATGTACAAAAGTTGGGCATGTCAGTTTGCTTCTTAAAACTTGGCAATGAAAATATGATATAAACTCCTCAGCACAACATAAAATCCTTCATAAGGCTCTTCCTACATTCCCTTCTCATATTTTGGGTCTTATCCAAGCTGAACTACTTGCAAATTCCCCAGTACATTCTAACACATGCTATTTTCTCTACCAGTGGAGCCTTTTCCCCATTCCCCATGGCTTAATTCAAGGTTCAACCACTCTTGTTTTTTATTCTCCATTTCCTCCTTGCCAATAAACAACTTGAAAATAAGGATTGTGCATCTGATTATCTAGCACTTAGAACATCTCAATAAATATATTTTCATTAATCCCACAGCATGTTGAGCCATCAACGTGCCATGCCAGCCCACTGCTGGTTATTAGTGGACACAGTGAATAAGAACAAACATAAACAATGAAAAAAGCAAGCTCATAATTTTGGTAGCGGAGAGAGAAGAAGAAAGAGAGAGAAGAAAACATGAAAGCCAGAATCAGATAGGGGTCAGAATCAATGTAATAAAATGTTAGCACTTACAAACTAACAGAGGGGCAATTGTAGACTACTAAAGGAATTGAGAACACTATATACTGCCCAATTATTTGCTGTGTACCCTAGTTTTGTTTTTTTGCAACAAAATCTGTTAAAGAAATGGATTAAGGCAGTGGTTCTCAACCTTCCTAATGCCTCGACCCTTTAATACAGTTCCTCATGTTGTGGTGACCCCAACCATAAAATTATTTTCGTTGCTACTTCATAACTGTTAATTTTGCTACTGTTATGAATCGTAATGTAAATATCTGATATGCAGGATGTATTTTCATTGTTACAAATTGAACATAATTAAAGCTTAGTGATTAATCACAAAAACAATATGTAATTATATATGTGTTTTCCGATGGTCTTAGGCGACCCCTGTGAAAGAGTCAGTCGTTCGACCCCCAAAGGGGTCGCGACCCACAGGTTGAGAACCGCTGGATTAAGGGGTCAAAACAAAATAAATTATCAGGAAGATAAAAACAATAGGTTAAATGACTATCAGAGAATGAAAACAAAAATTTTTTAATCCTCACCCAAGAACATGTTCATTGATTTTTGAGGAGGAGGAGGAGGGGAAAGAGAAGAGAGGGGAGGAAGGAGAAGGAAATTTCTGGATATTTAGCAAAAGAAAACAAAACCACTAATTCAAAAAGATATATGCCACCTATGTTCTTTGCAGCATTTTTATTTATAATAGCTAAGACATGGAAATAGTCTAAGTGTACATCAATGGATGAATGGATAAAGAAAATATGATATATGTATTAAATCATTATGCTGTATGCCTGAAATTAATGTCAATTATACCTCAATGAAAAAAATATATATATATATAGTAGGTAATCATACTGTGTTAATTTCCCCATGCAGAAGTGTGTTAATGCAAGGTAAGTTACGTGTTCTTTCAGTGTTAGTGCAAGTTGAAAAAAAGAAAATACAACTTACTGTCCATAAGGATACCAACGGTGCTTAGTAGTAAAGAACATTTTGCTAAGTTGTTCTATCATGGGTCCTTGCTCCAAGTGTTCATCTTTTACTTCTAATCTGGTTTTCAGTATTTGATCCTGTGTTTCTTCATAATTATGCAAAGGATCTGGCCGAGGGATAGGCTACAAAATAATCAGCAATAAATAGCATCGAAATATAGGAATATTAGCCAGCATTTGATAGAGTTTATGATAAAACAATTATTATTCTCAAGAATTCATTACAGTACCTCAAGGTGGGTAGGTGAATTATTAGAACAGAGCTTCACTTAGTTTCATTATTCATTAAAGAATAAGAAATACTTTTCTTCTCACATCAAGTTTTGGGTTTCTTTTCCAATAATAAAGTTCTTATTTAAAGTTCTGTTTTCCCCTCAATAAAAAAGACCCATTACATTAATTTCTATTTCTTAAAACTGTAAATAGCGTCTATTATTATTTTTAATTCAAAGTTTACAGTCTCTACCTTGAATAAAATTTAAGTAAAATACATGAAAAATCTTTCATTGAAAAGGACATTTCTGGAGACTTGCCTTGGGTGGTGAACACAAAATACAGATGATGTAGTATACAACTGTACATCTGAAACCTATATAATTTTATTAACCAATGTCACCCCTATAAATTCAATTTTAAAAAAAGAGCCTGGCTGGAGTGCTTCAGTGGTTGAGGATCAACCCATGAACCAAGAGGCTACTGTTCAATTCCTAGTTAGGGCACATGCCCAGGGTTGCAGGCTTGATCCCCAGTAGGGGTGTACAGGAGGTAGCCGATCAATGATTCTCTCTCATCAATGTGTCTCTCTATCCCTCTCCCTTCCTCTCTCTCTAAAAAAAATCTAAATTAAAAAAAAAAATTAAGAAAAAAAAGAAATGCCAGTAAAAAGCATGGGAAAGGGGTGGGTTTGAAGACTGATTTAGTAAAGATTACAGCTGAACTGGTTTGGCTCAGTGGATAGAGCATCAGCCTGCGGACTCAGGGGTCCCAGGTTAGATTCCGGTCAGTGGCATGTACCTTGGTTGTGGGCACATCCCCACTGGGGGGCGTGCAGGAGGCAGCTGATCGATCTCACTGATCGATGTTTCTGGCTCTCTATCCCTCTCCCCTCTTCTCTGTAAAAAATCAATAAAACATATTAAAAAAAAAAAAGATTACATTTCTTAGGTTGGGCTAGACAGCCTGGACAAGGTGAGTATATACTTGATTTCCTTATAAATAAAAAGAAAATTGTGTAAAAATAAAAGAAAGAAGAAAATATATTTTATTGACTTTTTAACAGAGAGGAAGGGAGAGGGATAGAGAGTCAGAAACATCGATGAGAGAGAAACAGATCAGCTGCCTCCCGCACACCCGCCACTGGGGATGTGCCCCAACCAAGGTACATGCCCTTGACTGGAATTGAACCTGGGACCCTTCAGTCCACAGGCTCTATCCACTGAGCCAAACCAGTTAGGGCAGAAAATTTCTTATATATAATGGAAGCAGGAAAAACTTCCATGTGTTTAGATGACTGAAATGCCAAAAAATGATTCTTTATGGTAATTTGAGAATGTTTTAGCATACACTTACATTTACTTAGCTTACGTACATGAAACAATAAGACCTCTTTAAAAGGCAATATATAAATGTATGAAGGTGGCACAAGATTATCAGAAATGCAAAGTAACAAAGATATCAGTGCGAAGTAGAATGGGAGCCAAATCAGAGACTTGTCAGAGGGTAGAATGTATTCTACAAGGGATAACCAAACCTTATGAGTAAAGAAATAAAGGTAAGAACACAAAATAAATAGGTCATTTAAAAAAAAGATCTCACTGACTGGTGTGACTCAGTTAGTTGGTTCTTGTCCTCTACACCAAAAAACTGCTGGTTCTATTCCCGGTCAAGGCACACGCCTGGGTTTTGGGCGCCACCCCCCAGTTAGGGGCATGCAGGGGATGGCCAACTGATGTTTCTCTCTCATCAGTGTTTCTGTCTCTCTGTCACTCTCCCTTCCTCTCTCTCTCTCAAATCAATAAAAACATTTAAAAAACAAATACAGCCCTAACCAGTTTGCCTCAGCTCAGTGAATAGAGCATCGGCCTGCGGATTGAAGGGTCCCAGGTTTGATTCTGGCCAAGGGCACAAGCCTGGGTTGTGGGCTCGATCCCCAGTAGGGGGCGTGCAGGAAGCAGCTGATCAATGATTCTCTCTCATCATTGATGTTTCTATCTCTCTATCCCTCTCCCTTCCTCTCTAAAATCAATAAAAATATTTTTTAAAAAATAAATAAAATAAAATAAAAAACAAATACAATAGTAAACGTTTAATGGTTTAAAAACTAACAAAAATGTGGATCTCAAGAAACCAGATTATGAAAGGCCTTCAAAGTTAGATTTAGAAGTAACAATTTGACAGAAGCAGAAATAAGGAAACACTTAATGTAGTGTGGGAGGGAATCAGGAGGATGTACAATGAAGAGGTAAAGGACTTGGGCTTCAGCCTATGATTCTATCACTTATTAGTTCTGTGACCTTGAGCAAGTTATTTAAGCTCTTCATTTCCCTTTCTGTAAAGTCAGAGAAGTAATAGATACCTAATAAAGACTTGCCCTAACCGGTTTGGCTCAGTGGATAGAGCGTCGGCCTGCGGACTGAAAGGTCCCAGGTTCGATTCTGGTCAAGGGCATGTACCTTGGTTGCAGGCACATCCCCAGTAGGGGGTGTGCAGGAGGCAGCTGATCGATGTTTCTCTGTCATCGATGTTTCTAACTCTCTATCCCTCTCCTTTCCTCTCTGTAAAAAAATCAATAAAATATATTTTAAAAAATAAATAAATAAATAAATAAAATAAAGACTTGATGAGGATTAAGTGAAATAATATAGAGCAGTGATGGTGAACCTATGACACGCGTGTCAGAGGTGACACGCGAACTCATTTTTTTGGTTGATTTTTCTTTGTTAAATGGCATTTAAATATATAAAATAAATATCAAAAATATAAGTCTTTGTTTTACTATGGTTGCAAATATCAAAAAATTTCTATATGTGACACGACACCAGAGTTAGGGTTTTTCAAAATGCTGACACGCCGAGCTCAAAAGGTTCGTCATCACTGATATAGAGTATGCTTAGCTGTCTCTCATTACCTAAGAGTTCAATAATGGTAGGTAGCTATTAACATTTATTTTATATCCTCAAACAGAAAAAGTTATATAAATGTATTTTAAAGAAAAAGTGCTCCTTGCCCAGCTGAGGGTCCACCTATGAACCCAAAGGTCACAGTTTGATTCCCAGTCAGGGCACATGGCCACGCTGCAGTCAATACCCAGTGTGGGTCGTGTAGGAGGCCGATAAACGATTATCTCTCATCATTGATGTTTCTTTCTCTCTCTCTCTCTCTCTCTCTCTCTCTCTCTCTCTCCCTCCCTCCCTCTCCTCTCTCTCTCTCTCTCTCCCTCCCTCTCCCTCTTCCTTTCTCTCTGAAATCAATAAAAACCTACTTTTTAAAAAAAAAAAAAGAAAAAGTGCTCCTTACGACACTTTATCATCTCTTTTTTGTAAAGTAAAATATTAATAAATGTCTTTGCAAGCTACGATCAGATCCTTAGAGGTATCAGCAAATATGGGAATGGAACCTACAGATTCCTCTCTTTCAGGTTATTAAACTTACTGTTAAAAATTAAATGTTTTAAACATTATCAAGAAGTTAAGTGATTTTCAAGGGTTAATAAATATTCATGGTCTACGGTCCTATTCCCAAGCAGACCCAATTCTAACACATCACAAATTCTCTCTGTTGTATATGACTAAAAAGAGATTTTTGTTTTCTAGGTATACAGATAAAAGACATAGGAATTACTGATTCTTCGAAGTCTATACCAAGAGCCTCTGGCAGACTCAGAATTGATTATTAGGCAGTATTTGATCTTCTTGATCAACTTCAAAGAAAGGGTACATGAATGTTTCAGTAAAAAGGAAAAACTAAAATAAAACTGAATATTAACTTCATAAAACATTCGTAACTGTCATCCTGAATTTTCTTAATTTCTTAAGAATTTTAAAAATGTGCTGTTCAAAAATTTCCATTACATCATCCACCAAAAAGAACTGCCTAGTACTTATATTTTTACTTTATTTTTCCAATCATTATTTTTTTGCCCCTGGTGGAATATCTTTATTTTCCTAAACAAGAAATCCTAAATTTGGAAAACATTTTTAGAATATTAGTTTAAAAAAAAAAAAATATATATATATATATATATATTATTGATTTCAGAGAGAGGAAGGGTGAGGGAGAGAAAGACAGAAACATCAATGATGAGAAAGAATCATTGACTGACTGTCTCCTGCACACCCCCTACTGAGGATCGAACCTGCAACCCGCAAATGTGTCCTGACTGGGAATTGAACTGTGACCTCCTGGTTCATAAGTCAATGCTCAACCACTGAACCATACTGGCCAGACTAGAATATTAGTATTTTTAATAAAACATATACCAAGGCAGAAGCAAAAAAAGAAGGATCTTTCTACATGGATCTATGGAAGTTAATCAACATGCTCTAGATTCAAATATAAATGACCAGAAAAGCAAAAATACAAATCATTTTAACTTTCTTAAAGCCAGTCTTCGATGGTATTTCTACACATGACTAGGAACTTTATATACAATATGCTTTCCAGGGTCTTGAGCAGTGGTTCTCAACCTTCCTAATGCTGCGACCCTTTAATACAGTTCCTCATGTCGTGGTGACCCCCAATCATAAAATTATTTTCGTTGCTACTTCATAACTGTAATGTAAATATCTGGTATGCAGGATGTATTTTCATTGTTACAAATTGAACATAATTAAAGCATAGTGATTAATCACAAAAACAATATGTAATTATATATGTGTTTTCCGATGGTCTTAGGCGACCTCTGTGAAAGGGTCGTTCGACCCCCAAAGGGGTCGCGACCCACAGGTTGAGAACCGCTGGTCTAGAGACTCAAAGGGCCTATTTCCTGGAGAAAAGAGTCATTGTAAGTAAGTCAAGTCTAAATTTTAAGTCATGTTTGAGGATTTTATTTCATATTATTATTTTAGTTTGTTTGAGGATTTTTATTTAATGTTATATACTATCATCATGAGATTTGTGAATATGGGTTCAGAAAGAACATACTTTATTCTAACATTAAAATGTTTTCAAGAATGTTTCTATTTGTACAGTCCAATCTACAATTTATTAGTTGAGAAACAAATAAACAAAAAACATCCATGGCTCCCCATGGAAATCCTTCTTTAGATACCACAGGAAATGTGAATACTTCTAACAGCAAATTAAAGTTATATGATTTTTTCATACATACCTTGGTGTGTTCATACGGAATATCCACAGAAGGATGGTAGCAAACTATCGTCCTGCCATCAGATGTCAAAGCAAGTTCTACTTTGCTGAAAAGAATGTTTCAGAAACAGAGGTATACTGTATTCAAGGCAGAATGATACTCTTGGTGCTAAAATTAACCAGTTAACTGCCAGGCGTCCAAAACAAAAACCATCCCAACACGCCACGATATTTTGAATTAAAAAAATCAATTTGCAATGAATACTATAAAAATAGATAAAATATTCAAAATTCAGGTGTTCTTGAATATTTTCAGCTCAAAATTCTCATGAAAAATGATTTTAAAGTTGGTCAGGACTGTCACTTAGGGAAAACATTTTTTTTTTATAGACACACGTGGCGTGTGGCGCTTGTGTCTACAAACGCTTAGGGCATACAATGGGTTAATTACTCATGAATCCCTGAAGAATAGATGCCACTTTACTGGACTGGCAAACTGATATGATCTATACCAATAAAAGGGTAATATGCTAATTAGGGTGGATGTCTTCCAGACATCCATCCAGACAAAACCACAGCGGCTGCGAGGCATGGGGCTGTCATGGGCTCAAGCAGCCATGAGCCCGGGTGGCTACAAGGCCCGAGGCTCAGGCCTCACAGCCGCTGTGGCTGGCAGTGGCAGCAGCAGCGGGTTGACGGGAGCTGTGCCTTCCCCTGATCAGCCCAGTTGCCTCCTGCAGAGGTAGGCCAGACTGTGGCTTAGGCCCGCTCCCCGTGGAGAATGGGCCTAAGCCATCAATAGGACATCCCCTGAGGGCTTCTGGACTGTGAGAGGGGGCAGGCCAGGCTGAGGGACCGACCGCCCTCCCCCACATCCAGTGCACAAATTTTCGTGCGCCAGGCCTCTAGTACCATATAATAGAGAACAACTCAAACCACCCCACAAAACATGTCAGTTTACTACCACAACAAACCTCTAAGGCCTCACTCATTATTACATCTAAGGTACTCTTCAAATTATTTGTTTTTTAGGCTATCCAGATCTTTGGAAGAGACCTTCATGTTTGTCACTATTATTAGAACTTCTTTTTCTTATCTAACAACTTCAAAAAGTCAGAGGACATTACTTGGTTGAATTACTAAAGCTGAAGATCAGCGAAGTACATAATCTTCCAGGTAAAGGATCACCTGAATTTCTAGTCATAAAGATTGAAACATTTGTCTAGATCAGCATTTCAAGTTCCTTTGACAAACAGTACAACTGTAAGAAACTTCCAATAAAAGAATTCTATGGCCCTAACCGGTTTGGCTCAATGGATAGAGCGTCGGCCTGGGGACTCAAGGGTCCCAGGTTCGATTCCAGTCAAGGGCATGTACCTTGGTTGCAGGCACATACCCAGTAGGGAGTGTGCAGGAGGCAGCTGATCGATGTTTCTCTCATCAATGTTTCTAACTCTCTATCCCTCTCCCTTTCTCTCTGTAAAAAATCAATAAAATATATTTTTTAAAAAAAAGAATTCTATGGTCAAACCAATTTGGGAACTACTGAATATTATCCCTTCCCTCCATTAATTCCCTCAGAAGAACACATTTTGGCAGTATTCCTCTAAACACTTCCAGGAATGCTCTGACTGGAACTCATTCTTTCAGGTACCAACTTACCAAGCTTCTTTTTCAAAAACTGGCAACTAATATTGTACTTAGATCTACAGACATTCTAAGGAGCACAGCGTTCAGCTTTTATTAAACATATATTTCCTAGATATATATAAATTTAAGTTTCTAGTATTTCAACACCAACCAGATTTGAGCGAGACCAGCAATTAAACTATAAAGTGTATTTTAGCTAACACAGGATAAGGTTATTTCACCATGTTATTAAGATTAAATACCATCAACATTTAAGACTAAATACAATGAACATTAAACCTATCAAATTATTTTGATGAAGGATCAAATGCACCTATAAGATTCATTCTTTTCAGGCTCAAATTAGACCTTGACTAATTTCATCACTATCTTAGACACTTACTAAATGTACAATTAAAACTACATAGTGTCACTCTGTGGGTGTGGCTCAGTGGTTGGGCATCGACCCATGAACCAGGAGGTTGCTGTTTAGGAGGTTCAATTCCCGGTCATGGCACATGCCCAGATTGTGGGTTCAGTCCCCAGTGGGGGCCATGCAGGAGGCAGCCAATCAATGTTTCTCTCTCATCGATGTTTCTCTCTATTTTTCCCTCCCTCCCTTCCTTTCTCTCTCTAAAATCAATAAAAACATATATTTTTGCCCTAGCTGGTTTGGCTCAGTGGATAAAGCGTCAGCATCCCGGGTTCAATTCCAGTCAAGGGCACATGCCCAAGTTGCAGGCTCAATCCCCAGTAGGGGGCATGCAGGAGGCAACCAATCAATGATCCTCTCATTGATGTTTCTATTTCTCTCTCCTTCTCCCTTCTCTGAAATCAATAAAAATACATTTAAAACTGAAAAACAAAACTTTTTTTAAAAAAAAAATTTTTTTTTAAAAACTATATAGTGTCAACAGGGAAGAAAATATATTTTTACTAAAATTTGCAATAAAAAATGTAGCTTAAGAAAATATGTTGGTTTCTGTACATCAGCCTCTGCTGTAGAGAAAAAAAGACATCTTATTCATGCTATTCCCAGTTCTTAGCATAGTGACTAGAATAAACTGTGGTTGAATTAAATATTTGTGATTTGTATTATTCAATGACAAACAACAGATAAGATAAATAACTGCATAAGCTAATAGATATAAACCCTAAGACAAAACTATAAAAACTAAATTTTTCAAGAAACTTCTAAAGAATGCTTCAGGAAGAAAAGATAGCATTTCTAACAGTATGTCTGTCTTAAAATAAAGTATTTACTGAAATACAATGGTAATGATTTTTATTTGAAATGGATATAAGCCCATAGACTGGGTACACAAGATCACTGAAATCATTTTAAAAAACAAAATTAAAGAAAGAATACTAAAAAAAGGCAGAAAAACCCCAAATAAGAAATAAAATTAAATCAATTCAGATACAGCTAACAGACTGTTATTTTTTCAATTGAATTTTAATACATACCAATTATAGTCATCTGGAAGAGAAGAGTATGTGGATTTATGACAAACACAGTATAAAGCTCCATCTGTAAAAACACCAAAAAATAAAATGGACTTTGTTAATTTGAGGATATGTTCTCACATAAATGTAAAGATAGCTTCATTCATTGAACCGATAGCTTCATTCATTGAACCGATAAGTATTTACTATGAAGTAGGCATGTATTAAGGGCCTTGGATTCAACAAGTAAGATCCAGTCCCTGCCCTCAGAAAGGGTACAAGTCTGGTGAGAGACAGACAAGTAAACAAATAATTTCCAATAAAAAAATAAGCCCTGTTAGGATGGATTAAGTATTTGGAAAGAGAAGGGAACACAGAAAAGTTACAAACACAACTGTATAGCCCTGGCCAAGTGGCTCAGTTAGAGTGTCTTACCATACACCAAAAGGCTGTGGGTTTGATTCTGGTCAGGGTACATACCTAGCTTACAGGTTCCATCCCCCAGGGAGCATTTGGGATGCAACCTGTTGATGTTTCTCTCTCACATCTATGTTTATCTCTCTCTCTCTTTCCCTCCCTCCCTCCCTCCCTTCCTCTCTCTCTCTAAAAAAAAAATCAATAAAAACATATCCTCAGGTGAGGATTGAAAAACAAAACAGAACTGTATAGGCTCAAGAATGCCTTTTCAGTGGAGATGATGTCTAAGATATTCTGAAGGATGAGGAAATAAATAGGAGTTAGTACGGGATGAGTAAAATGTTGCTTGCAGAAGGAGTAACAAGTGCTAAGGACCAGAGGTAACAAAGAATATAATATGGGTATTCTAAAAACATTCACGTGAATGGAGTGCACAGTTCATAAAGGGGGCATCTAATCTAATAAAAGACAAACATGCAAATTGACCATACCTTTGCTATGCATTAAGCCACGCCCACCAGCCAATCAGAGCGACTATATGCAAATTAACCCAAACAAAATGGCGGCCGGCAGCCACAGAGCTGGAGCAAGCAGGAGGCTTGGTTGCTCCAGTGATGGAGGAAGACAAGCTTCCCGCCCCTCCTGGCAGGCTCTGAGCTCCACTGAAGGCAACAAAGTTTCAATATACAGTGGGGCCTTGACTTACAAGTGTCCGGACTAACGAGTTTTCCAAGATACGAGCCGATTCTTGGCCGATTTTTTGCTTTGAGTTGCAAGCTAAAATTTGGGTAACGAGCCAGCTTTAGATACCGCACCGTTAGATGGCGCAGTGAACGTCACAGTGAATACCACAACATCAGCCCAGCATCACATGTCTCACTCATTCACTTTTTGATTTGACATACGAGTAATTTGAGTTATGAGCTCCGTCATGGAACGAATTAAACTTGTAAGTCAAGGCCCCACTGTAGAAGGTAAATAAATCTCAGAATAAAAAAGAAAAAAAGGAGAGGCTGGGAGCTTCCGTCGCGGGGGGGCTTGGCCAGCCTGAAAACGGCCCTCAGCCCCTCACCCAGACTGGCCAGGCAACCCAGTGGGATCCCCCCACCCTAAAGGGGGTGTGGCCATCCTGAAAACAGCCATCCGCCCCTCACCTAGGCTGGCCAAACCTCCACGGGGTGAGGGGTCCCCACTGGGGGAGGCTTGACCAGCCTGCAAACAGCCATCAGCACCTCACCCAGCTGGCCAGGCACCCCGTGGGGACCCCCACTCTGAAGGGGGTGTGAACAGCTGCAAACAGCCACCAGCCCCTCACCCAGGTTGGCTAGGCACCCCAGCGGGGACCCCCACCCTGAAGGGGGTGTGACTAGCCTGCAAACACCCATCAACCCCTCACCCAGGCTGGCCACACACCCAGGCTGGACCCCCACCCTGATCCGGGACACCCTTCAGGGCAAACCAGCTGGCCCCCACCCATGCACCAGGCCTCTATCCTATATAATAAAAGGGTAATATGCAAACTGACCCTAACAGCAGAACGACTGGGAATGACTGGTCACTATCACACACACTGATCAATGCAGGAGCTGCCCCCTGATGGCCAGTGCTCTCCCACAGGGGGAGCTCTGCTCAGCCACAAGCCAGGCTGATGGCTGCCAGTACAGCAGTGGTGGTGGGAGCCTCTCCCGCCTCCTCAGCAGCGCTAAGGATGTCCGACTGCAGCTTAGGCCTGCTCCCCGCTGGCAAGTGGACACCCCCCGAGGGCTCCCAGGCTGCTAGAGGGATGTCTGATTGCCAGCTTAGGCCCAATCCCGCAGGGAGCGGGCCTAAGCCAGCAAGTGGTCATCCCCCAAGAGGTCCCAGACTGCGAGAGGGCACAGGCCGGGCTGAGGGATTCCCCCCCCCTCCCCAGTGCACAAATTTTTGTGCACCAGGCCTCTAGTGTTAAGTAATAAAATACAAAATAAGTTGTTGAAAATTAATTTCCATTAATCAAAATGCTCATATTTCAAAGCACACTTTTCTTTTTTAGAATACCTACAAATTTAAGAGCCATAATTACTTTCTAAAAAGTTTATTTGAAAGGATCTCCTGTTTAGGGAAAGGGTGTTCTTTTAAATATAAAGAAAAAATGTAAATGTAGCTCAGTATAGTTAAAAGCTCCAAATATATCTGGGCTATATCTCTCTCTCTCCCTTCGCCCAACTGGGCCTCTTGCTCCTCAGTATGAAACACAATCCCCACTTTGTTCAAATATCACTCATCCTTCGAAGTCAAATGCTATTCTTGCATAAAAATCCTTTACCCTCTCCCCACGCAACAACCTCCATTACAGAAGGGAGACTTGTCTATTATATACATCCCACAACCAACATTTCATATGACATTGCTATACCTTCTTTGCAATCTTTTCTGTATCTGTTATTGATGTGTATTAAGATATGTAAAAAAGATGTGTCTCTTCCTTCTTGTATACCTATCCTTTCTCCAAGGATTACATTATATTTAGAGGTCTAAATATAAATTCTAACCCCAAAGAAAAAAAAGTACCTTAACAAAATTCACTATTATCATACAAGAATGTTCAGCAAAATGTCAACCCCAAAATTCATTGATGTAAGAAAACAAAATACAAAGAATTAGAAATCTAACCTCATCTCTCAGAATATTCATTAATTTTCAATTAACTGTGCTAATACAAAGAAGCAGTCAGTAAGAGAAATCAGAGGATAAAGTAAAAAAAACATTCACACAATTTACATTTTCTTGTTTTGCACTATGGAAGATCTTCCTAATTATGCCTGGATTAATTTTAAAAGAAGTTTTAGTCTTTGAATATAAACCAGCTAGGTGAGGTACATGCTCGATGAAAGAAACAGGGTTGGGTGGCAGAGGCAGGCCACACATTATTAAGTATTCTTAACTAGGCAGGAGGGAAAACACAAGACCACAGTGCTTTAGTTCAACAAGAAACTCTGTACAATTCTTATTCTGCACTTACAGACGTTTGTACCCTCATGACATACATCACATTCTACCTCATTCTCCAGATATTTCTAGTTTCTATAGATGTCTGTTTCACCTACAAATCTAAGTAAATTCCTTAAGGCCAATAACCACACCATGTACATTAATGTGTCCCTCATACTGTAGTGGCTACTAAAAAATAGTGGCTGCCAAACTGCCTCTAAAATGTTAATTTCTGCATAATTAATACTTGAAAAACTCATATGACATTTTATCAAGAGGAAAATTCTAGTTACGGTAAGTACCAGAGATTCTAAATATATCATTAGGACAAGTTAACATCAATCAACCCAAAAACAACTAAATGTGCCCAAAAGAATTCCAATGAAGAGTCAGTTCTCTGTAACTTATGGGCTACTGTTACATAAATATGCTTAACTGCATTTTAATAAGATATATAAAAGCTAAGCCTGGCTGGTGTGGTTCAGTTGGATGAGCATCATCCTGTGCATCAAAAGGTTACTGGTTTGATTCCTGGTCAGGGCACTTGCCCAAATTGTGGGTTTGGTCCCCCAGTCAGGGTGCGTACATGGAGGAAACTGATCGATGTTTCGCTCTCTATTTTTTTTAAAAAATAAAAAGTGATAACCCCACTTAATCTACAAATGTTCAATATTTTAAGTTACTACAGGTAAGGCGGTACAGCAGGAAGTATATTGGACAAAGTAAGATGGGGAGACCTCGGTTTTGATCACAATTCTCATTTACCACTTATACAACCCTGGGTATGTTTCTGAAGGCCAGAGAACTCAAGTTCCTTCATCTTCAAAGTTGTAGAGATCAAACAACTTAATATGCTAAAAAAGAGAAAATGTTCCACATTCTCATGCTGACTGTATATTTTGGAAGGGTTAAGAAGTTCCTTCTGAAATATAGGGAGGCCTTTTTATTTTTGCTCATTAATTTTCTTCCTTAATCATGGTTTTGCTTTGCCTCTAATATTAATAGTCTTCCTTTTGGTATAAAATAGCAATAATATTAATTCTATACTCCAGTAATAGTAATAGAAATTATGCAGTATAGGGGCTTAGGATGCAAGAAGTCAGGTAGTCACTGAGTACCAGGATGATAATGGAACAATTTTCCGGGGTAACTTACATTAATTTTTAGTTAAATTTTGACAACTCCAATCCATTCAGATCAGTTCAACACTTATTTATCACCTACCATGAATGAGAGGCACTGAGGAAACCAAAATAAATTAGTGCACAAATTTACAATCTAGTGGGTAAAGTACACATAGACAAATGTCACTTACCCTAGGACAGATTAACCCAAGTGAGGACTAACTGCTGTTTCAGGGCATGGATTAAGTAAAAACTGATTAGGTCTGATTTTCCATCAGTCTTGGGGCTGGGTTTCTGACAGGGCAAAGGGGAAGCTAAGCAGCAGGGGTCTCACTCACAATTCTCCACAAAAATGTCCCAAGGCAATCAAGGGCTGACTACTGTTTTGTTTTGACTCTGATTTTTACATCAAAAGTCTCTTAGTGACATCAAGAGCTGCCTACCTGCGGGGGGGGGGGGGGGGGGGGGGCAGAGAAAAAAAACACACAAAAAAAGTCTCTTAGCAATCTCCTCCTCCGTTCACTTAGATCATTATATTTTTACTTGTACTTCTAATCCTACTCTTCAAACTCTTTCCCCCTTAACTCAATAAACACGCTATTGCAAATGAGAGTAAACCGGAAACATAAACAAAGATATTCAAATGAGGCAGAAATGCATAAAAGATAGGCTGCTCAGGCCAGTGTGGCTCACGTGGCTGAGCGTCTGCCCAAGCTTGGAAAGGTTGCCAGTTCGATTCCTGGGTCAGGGCACATACCCAGGTTGTGGGTTACCCGGGTCAGGGTATGTATGGGAGGCAACCAATTGATGTTTCTCTCTGCCTCTCGGCTTTCCCTCTAAAATCAATAAAATAAAATAAAAAATTTGGCTGATGTAGTTAAACATGCAAAAGCAAACCATAGGGAACTCTCACCATGTCTACTTTAGAAATGGGAGAATAGTGTTCAGATAGTGAGGGAACAGGGTGAAAGTAAGGTTGGCTGGGGAATAAGATTTTAATAATCTACTTATTTATTTGGGTTGATATTTTGGCTTTCAAACATGTATTAATAGATTTTGAAAAAAAAACACACATTACATTGCATTTCTTTAGAAATGGTAGGTAAAATTTACATTTTTTAAATGGCTAAATATATAAAAACACAAAGAGAATACACCAAAACATTAACACTGATTATCTTTGTAAGATGGGATTGTAATTTTGCCCTTTATTTACTGATGTTTACTATTACTAAAAAATATGTAAAAAAATAATAATAATGTGAAAATATAGTAAATATGACTCAAATCAGAGAAAGTTTGTTTCTCTTTATCAATCTTTCACTTGCCCTCAGCTAAAACCCCACTTGTGGTCTACACAGATAATCCATTTGGTCCATACTTTCTATTCTGCATTTGTACATGTATACACACACATATATTGGTAAATTACCTTTTATATGTACAAATGGGATCATACAATAGATACTATTCTATGACATACTTTAAAAAATATATTTTTATTGATTTTAAGAGAGAGGGAGAAAGAAACATCAATGTGAGAAAGAAACATCGAGTGCCAGCAGCTGCCTCCTGCACACCCCCTACCGGGGACAGAGTCCACTTAGTCCTCCTGCTAAGACATACAATAAGTAAATGCTTTAAACTTTCTATAATGAATACATATTTCTATATTTGAAAAAGTTTAAAACTCTTTTTAAACATTAAATACTCACTTACTTTGGATTGGAAAGAAATGTTTCAAAAAAGTTCTGTTTGATATCGCCCATTTCACTGCTGATACGGCCATGGTGAATCAAGATGCTTTATCAGGTGGTATGGAAAAAGATCTGAAGAGAAAATGCTTTTAAAATTTGCTTTTAGGCATACCTATTTTCATCCCTGTGTGAGAGATAAAGAATAAATAAATCAATCACTGCTCCGTATGGTAAATTAAAGTGACACAATATATTGACCATTACAGGACAAGATAGGAATCACTACCTAGCCACAATCACCTAAAGCAAAACTTTTAAACAGCTTTCCATTTCCATGTTATATAAGAGCAACAATATCAAAATACATGACCAGAAACCCCAGAACTAGGTCCTTTACAATTTCTCTTAAATGCAAAGTTCTCAGCACCTAGTATAGTTCTTTCCACTTAATGAGTGCTCAGTAAATGTGGAATTACCCTTAGAAACAGTCACTCACACATGCTACACAGAACATCCTCTTTCATAGGCTAATGTGTATATATACGACCTCCCAGGTACGATACATAAGATCTTATTACAGCTCTGAAAGTGGTATTCAGTTTCCGACTAAAGGAAATATTAAACAAGGCCTATCCTTGGCCTATTAAATACTGATTTTTTTTAAAAAAAATACTTATTTAGACGATTAACACCCTAAAGTGCCAAATATAATTTCACGATCTTATATACAGGGTGGGGCAAAAGTAGGTCAACAGTTGTGAGTACATGAAACAGTTTATTCGTATATTATTATTTATTAGAAGCCAGTGCACGAAAATTCAGCCTGACCTGCGCCCCCTATTAGTCCGGGAGCCCTCAGGGGATGTCCTCCCTCTGTGGCCCCATCGCAGCCGCTGCCCCCCATGGCCGTCCCCTCCCTCTGCCCGCTGGCATGTGCCTTGTCTGGCCTGGAGCCACCTGCTCGCTGGCCCACCTCCCGCTGAACGATTGTTCCATCATTCAGCCGATTTGCATATTATGCTTTTATTATATAGGAAGGATTATTGTTATTTTCCATATGAACTGTAAACCTACCTTAGCTCCACCCTGTATGTTTACGGTTTTTCATTTTCCAAGGTACTTTCATTACCATTTCATTTCACTCTCATATTAACCATGAGAGGTATCTTTATTTTGATTCACTATGAAACTAAGTACAAACTTTAAATGAGTAACTTCCAAGAGTCAGTCGCAAACTGGGAAACATTGGGCAAGTTACTAACTGAATGACCCTCAGTTTCTTCCATGGTAAATGGGGAAAAGAACCACAACCTCCATGGCTATTGCGAATGAAAGAATACAAGCGCTGCTACAGCCCTTGTTTTCTCCTCCCCTCCCCCACACGGGCAACACGGGATTCGCACGCGGTTCCGTCTGCTCGCCTGACCTCGCAGGTCAATTCCTTCCCCTGTCGGTGCATGAGCACCGCTCTCCTGAGTTCACAGTGTGCTTTTCCCAGCTTACCACCCACCTTCCTACCCTTTATGCGCCCTCCCACCGGCCGGTGAGGTGGGCATCTTCATGCCACACACTCAGAGGTTCAGAGAGGTCAGACGATGCTGCCCACCATACCTGTGCTTTGTCGGTGGCCAGAGTGGTACGCAAACCCGCTTTCTGAGCACAAACCCAGAACAAGATATTTGGGGGGGGGGGGGGGAGGAGGGGGAGGTCTCCTCTGCCCGAGCCCCGAGGCAGCTCACCCATAGGGGGGTCAGATTAGTCACCCCGCGGAGAGTAATTCGAGAGGGTCAATCCCTTGGCCGGGGATTCAGCCCCGAAGCAAAAACTGCAGAGAGCCTCGGAGGGCCCTGAGTCTGAGGGACAGGCTACCAGGAGCGCGGGGTCCAACATCCGGGGGCAGATCCCACAGACTCGGGCCCGAAGGAGTCCTTGGGCGCCGGGCGCAGGCTCGCCGCTGGTACCCACAGGACACGCGCGGCCACGCGCCGGCCCCTCGGCAGGACGCCCGAGACTGGCGGCGCCAGAGGCTGTATCCAGCCGCGAACCACAGGCGGGAGGCCGCGACAACCGGGCAGACCTCCGGGCCTGCCCGACTCAGCTTTCAGGGACTCCCTGACCGGAGGAGGAAAAGGCACCGGTTACCTTGACGTCTGCTCACCGTGAGCCCGCCATCTTCCTCCAGCCGGATCCTAGGACAACCACTCCACGTGCTTTCCTGGCTGCCGGGCATTCTGGGAAATGTAGTCTCGCGGGAAAGAGCTCCCTGCGGGGCGGGGGCGGGGCGGGGGCGGGGGGCGGGGCGTACCGGGAGCCACGTAACATGCTCCAGTTATTTGCTAGCAACTTGACTCACATCACTCAAAAAAACAAACAAAAAAAACACAAGATCGCTACCCCACGCACACATCCTTAGAAAGTAGCAAGCGGTATTCTATTTAAGTTTATATTAATAATTAGAGTCCCGCCGGTGTGTTCAGAGGTTGAGCATCGACCTATGAATCAGGAGTCATGGTTCGATTCCCAGTCAGGGCACATTGCGGAGGAGAGGGGGGCGGGGTGGGGTTGGGGAGTTGCTGGCTTAATCCCCAGTGTGGAGAATGCAGGAGGGAGCTGATGGGTGATTCTCACTTCCCCCTTTTAACTTCACACCCAACCTCACCCCTAAGGGTTTAAAATAGGGAAGTGAGGAAGGCCTCCAATCCGAGAACCCAGCACTGTGTTCTGAGAACTGTGCTAGCTATTCATCATGGGAGGAAGAAAATGTGCAGAATCCTGGATTTTGCCATTTATCTTACACTTTCTGTTCTCATTGCCATCAGTGCTCTTCTTTCAGTTCTTATGACCACTGCCTTACTTTATCCATATTGCTCAAATATCATCTCAGAGAAGACCACACCATTAAAATAGCCTCACTCACCCATATACTATTGTCTTCCTTTATTTTTCTTCATAACATTTACCATTATAAAACATCATATTATTTGTCTCCTCATTTAACGTCTGTTTCATGCTGGAATGAAAGCTCCACAAAGGCAGGGTCAGGTATCTATCTTGTTCTATATTGTATGCAAACTCAACATCTAGAACTGTGCTTGGTCTCACTGAAGGCCTCCAGTATTTGTTGAATGAATGAAACAAATAACACAGCAGGCATCGAAAATAGCAGATGATTGACTGCTACAACAGCAGTGTAACCTGGAAATTCCTTTCCCTCATGATTTGCAAATTTTGTATTTATGTACATTTTTCTGAAAAGGATTCATAGCTTTTATGATGTATTCAAGGGGGTCAATAAACCCCTCAAAACATTAACAACCATTGCCCTGAGTGATTAATATTAAAAATAAGTGGATGTAAATTCACAATAAAAAAAATAAATGTGGGCTGCTGTGGTTTCTTTCATTTCCCACAGAATACAGGCTCCTGCTGCTGCTAATCATTGCTTCTGTGGAAGCCCAATAAGGACTCATCTCTGTCTTTTTAATCTTGTCCATCCTTCAAAATCACTCCATAATGCCTTTCTGGACTATGCTGTAGGAAGAGATAGAGAGGGAAAACAGAGTTGAATGAACAATCAACTGGATTTGTCAAACATTCATTGTGCAAAGCGGAAGGGGGATAGATTAAAGATGACTTCAGAGGACATGTCTTGATGGCTGTGACAGAATAGGGACCACTGACCAATAGGGAGACTCATCAGAAAGGTTTACGAAACTGAGACCAGAAAAGAAACTAATCACGTGCATGGAAAAGAGCGTAGAACTAGCTTTAGGCTGAGGGAACAACTTAAAAGTCTTAAGGGGGTGAAAAGAACTTACCATCTCCTGGAATACAGTGTGGAGGAGAGTGGCAGGAGATGAAGCAAGAACCATGTCATGTTGGGCTTTGTAGGCGTTGGTGGTGACATCATGGAATTGGGACATAGGCCATATGTGTAGATTATTCTAAATGTAGTAGGGAGTCACTGGATGGGTTTAACACAAAAGAAGGGACATATGATTTATGTTTTGAAAAGATTACTCTGGCTGCATTGTAAGGAGTGGCAAGACTGCAAGCAAGTCTAATGACACTATTGCTATACTGCAGTCAAGTTAAGAGATGAAGGTGATAACATGATGTAGGGTAGCAACAGTGGAGATGAAGAGAAGGGAAGAGAGTCCAGATATATTTTGAAAACGGAAATGATAACCAAACTTGCTGGTGGATTGATTGGATGTGGAAGCTGAGAGAGAGGAAAGGCACTTCAGGTGATGCTTTGATGACTAGCTTGAAGGTGGTATGGTTCATGAGATAGGGAAGAGTGAAAGGGGAGCAGATTTGGGGGTCTGATGAAGATAGAAATTAATGTCTCCACTTGGAAGTTGTTGAGTTTGAGATACCTCTGAAATATCCAAGTAGGGATTAAAGATATAAAGTGAGGTAGCTGATGGGAAAAAAATGTGTCTCGAGAATAGAGATTAGGCTAGATATAGATTTAAAGCCATGGGAATGTTGAGTGCATGTAGGTAAAGAGTGTAGAAAGAAAGAAAAAGGTGTGAGAGTAGTTAAGAAAGGCATGTCATGTCATGAAGTATTTCTTAACTTTAGCATCCAGTGCCAACAAGCTAAAAACTATTATTTCCAAAAATAAAAACTTGAAATACCAATAAATAACTTACATTAGCCTACATAAAAGCTGTTGCAATTCATGTTAATGAAATGACAAAGCAGATAAAATCTTAGAGGTTTGGAGTTGGTTTCAAATGGCTTCAGTTGAAAGGGGGTCAGCTTTTTTCTTTTCTAACTTCACAGAATAAAGTCACTCTTTATATAAATCAGAGATCAAAGACTTCAGAGCAATCTAACTGCCAAACCATTAGGGATAATCTTTCTAAAAACGTTTTTTTTTATTACATAAAATTGGCTATAATTTTGAGCATTTACTATGTGCCAGACTTTTAAACACTTTACATGTATTGTTTTTTTCTATTCCTACTGTTGGCCCTAGGAGATGGGTATAATTACTGTGACTGTCATTAAATAAATGAAATAACAGAAGGGAAATTGTTCAAAGCCATGTCAAGTACAATTGGTAGAAATATTATTTGAATCCAGGAACTTCTGATACCAGCACCCATGAGCTTAACTACTGTGTTAGACTGTGCCATGCTCATTTCCAAATAGAAAATGTAGATTAAAAAAAATCCAAGTTATAAAAATAATCCAAATTAATACAGATTTTAAAAACAAAACCCCAGAGATAATATCTACTAACATTTTGGTGTGTAACTTTTCATTTTTATCACTTCTTATATCTATACTAGAGGCCTAGTGCACGAATTCGTGCGCGGGTGGGGTCCAGCCAGCCAGAGGGGGGCTGGGGGCACAGGAGGTTGGTTGTCTGACTTCACCCCCTGGTTGAACTCTGGTAGAGGGGACAATTTGCATATTACCCTTTTATTATATAGGACTAGAGGCTGGGTGCACAATTCATGCACTGGTGGTGTCCCTTGGCCTGGCCTGCGGGGATCAGGCCAAAACCGACTCTCCAACATCCCCCAAGGGGTCCTGGATTGCAAGAGGGCGGTTCTCAGGTGACGCACCCTGGAATCAGGCTCCCTTCTCTCTGGTTCCGGGTGTGTCACCCAAGAACCTCAGCTGCCAAGTCACTGCAGCTTGGTAGCTCCTGTGCTGAGCGTCTGCCCCCTGGTGGTCAGTGCACATCATAGCTACTGGGCGGACAGTCAGACAGTTGCTTAAGTTTTTACATATGTAGATTATGATACTAATTAACATTTATTGGACACAGTATGTATACTATTCTAAAATCCTATGGTCAGTAACTGGCAGAGGTGAGATATGAACCAGACAGCCTGGCTCTCCTTCAATCTTCTGCTTTTTTACGCAAACACATTATCTTTATTTCTATTAATATATGTATATAAATAAATACACATATACATATACATATAGACTTTTTTATAGAAATATATATATGTATATATATTTTCCCCCCACTTACTGTATCATGAACATTTTTCCTATGAAAAGCCTAAATATTATCAGTTTCAAACCATCAGTCTCTTACACATCATCAGGACTTCTTTATTATTTTTGTTAATCCTCATCCACGGATATTTTTTCATTGATTTTTAGAGAGAGTGGAAGGGAGGGAGAGAAACATCGATGTGAGAGAGGCACATCAATTGGTTGCCTCCCGCATGTACCCCAACCAGGACTGGGGATTGAGCCTGCAACGGAGCCACATGCCCTTGACTGGAATCGAACCTGGGACCCTTCAGTGCAAGGGCCAATGCTCTATTTGCTGAGCCAAACTGACTAGGACAGGACTTCTTTAGATTATTAAAGATACTTACAATATAGTTTTCTCTCCCCCCCCCCTCCATAGTTTTCATTTTAAAGTTATTTCATTATTAGGTGCTTTTCTGCAACTCCTAAAATTTGAATTTATTCTATATTCATTCATTTAACAAACATTTACTAAGCACATATTAGATGTACAAGACACCAGCACAGTTTCTCTCTTCATAGATTGTACATCAAGTGGAGATGACAGATATTAAGTATATAATTATATAATTAATTATCTTATTATCATTGCACTAAGTGTCTCAGAGGAAAATAATGCCATGGAGCATATAACTAGTCCACAGGCATCTGACTAATCTATTGGGGTTAGAATAGGTTCCTCTGAGCATATGAACTTAAGCAGAAATCTGAAGGAAGGGTAGAAGTTAGGAAGAGGAAGCGGGCAAGAGGGAACAGTCTGTGTGAGGGCCCTAAGATAAGAAGTAGAATGATTCCTTCAAGAGTCAAAAATAAGGTCAATGTCCTGTGGTTCGGTTGGTTGGGTGTCATTCCTGGCCCCAAAAAGTCACCAGTTCCATCCCTGGTCAAGGCATATGCCTGGGTTGTGGGCTTCATCCCCAGTAGGGTGCATACAGGGATACAGGAGGCAACCAGTTCTCTCTCTCTCTCTCTCTCTCTCTCTCTCTCTCTCTCTCTCTCTCTCTCCATGGCAGTGCTAAGGATGTCTGACTGACAGCTTAGGCCCACTCCCGGTGAGTCATCCCCTGAGGGCTCCCGGACTGCAAGAGGGTGCAGGCCTGGCTGAGGGACCCCCGCACCCCCGAGTGCACAAATTTCGTGCACTGGGCCTCTAGTACATACATATACATACATATACTATATAATAAAAGGCTAATATGCAAATTGTCCCTTAGACTGGGAGTTCAATCAGGAGTTTGACCAGAAGCAGGG